CCCCAAAACCCCAAAACCCCAAAACCCCAAAACCCCGAATTAGCTGTAGAATATTGAAACAAGCTTCATTACCATTATTTGGACTCTAAACGTTCCAGTATCATCTTTGTTGAGAAGTACCTCCAAAAAATTCATCGCCTAGATTAATAAATTGACTTTGAATTTTTGGTTGATATTCAACCTCTCTCTGCCAAGAAACCTGCATGTCGTCAACCAAAATCCTCATTTCAGCTAATAGATCAGAGCTAGACACGTACTGGAACCCTTCATTAATTTTTACTAATGAATAGAACCAGTCAAGATTATTTGAGGAATCCAGCACATAATTTTTCCTGAGTCTATAATTAAAATGATAAATTCCGTTCTCTACAATCTTGATCTCATTATCCATGTTCAGCATGTATTTCTTAGGAGTTCCTAAGCTACCATGATCAAAGGATGCATCAACCATGAGCATGTCAATATATGTTCCAGAGATAGATTCTGATCCTCAGGAACCTCCAGAGCATTTCACAGCTTGCCAAACAACATAGCTATAATTTGTACCATGATCATTAGATAACAAGATTGTAGAGCTGATGTCAGCAAGATCGATGCACATGTAATCACTAATTCCAACTGTGACTAATTGATCTTGAAGCTCTGCCGGAAACATAGATGCTTCACAAGGAACTGTGCCAACTTGTGTGTCTACAATGTTAAGTCCTCCATCTGATGACGCTCTTCGTACAATTTTCCATAAGATATTACCCATTCGTATGATCTCTCCATTTGAAAGCGATGTTAAAGCCAGCAGAAAAAGGAGCATGAACTTCAGTACTTGTATAAGCAGGAGAATATCCTTCATTTTTCTTTACCTTAGAATATTGTACAAATGAGATTTTATCAGTAGTCTCTTCAGTTCCTGTACCTGGAGATCATAAGGTATCAGCTAGTTCAGGACAGGTGGTAGAACTCTTGCAGACATATGTGTATGGATCTTCAGTAGTAACGTTTCCTCCAGGATTGGTCGGAGTGGTCGTATTGTCTCAAGACAGGGTATCAGATCCTTTATCTAAGGTAGTTGTAACCGTTTTTTCCACTAATGGCATTGTTATCAAAACAATTAGGTAAACCACCATTACAAAGAAGATGAAGATTGTGGCTAGTCCTCCCCAGACAGTACTGTAATTCTCTTTGCCATTCTTGGTAAAAAGTATGGGTTTGCTCAGATCTGTATTACTCTGAACCATCATTGACGGAGTAAATATTGCCACAAAGAGTTTGAGGGATTTCTGAAACATTTATAAAAAAATTATTTAATAAATCTTGTGTTTGTTGGGGTTTTGGGGTTTTGGGGTTTTGGGG